CAACACTGCACCTCCGAAACACACACAGAAAATCGATAGGATTTTATGGATGTTAAACAACGCGAGAACTGCATAGGCGAGAACTGTTTACACCGTAGAGGAAACACAGCTAAAAAAACTGTCAACAAATAGCACGGGAGCGCGAATCAGCTCGAGGCACCTTGATCGGTGTCCCAAGACAGACTGGTTTAAAGCTCAATTGACAATAGTAAAATTCGAGAACTGATCATTCTGATTGGTCGAGATCCTTACAGCCGATAACTTTTATCCTTAACCTCGAATCGGCCATTTAAAATAAATCGAGAACGTTTCTTAATGAACCGGTGCGTAATAACTAGAAATCCTCCACGGCTGCTACCCCAGGACATCGGGTGAGACCTGGGCACCAAGTTCTTAACTCGGGTTAACGGGTATACCTTCCCTGCTCTTGACCATAATAACACCCTATCAATGCCTGCTCTACAGCCCTTTGCCAGCAGGGTGCCGGTGTCTCACCTGGACCTCTTCCGGTCAGTGGAGACGTCTCCGGCGGGTATTCTCCTCTGCCTGGCAACTCGGTACGTCAAGACTCCACAGCAGATTCACGTTTATGCGATGACTATGAGGACCAACATCTCATGTGCTGGAATCCATCAAGATCTATAGTACTTTGCAGGATGCAAAGAGCACTCCAGATTTGTTATAGTTTTTAGTTTTTTAGTTTTTCAGACGAATCAGACGACGTTGATTTACCATGGATACGAACCTCCGAAGGCTCTCGAAGTGTCGGTAAATGTCGGTGCAGGAATCTGTATCCAGAACCCACCTTGTTATACTACTCACTGAAAACCAGCACCTCATGCCTGCATGCACTGATGAGTGCAGCAGTGCAGTTCCGAGCGGAACTATAGTTAGAACAGTCAGTTCTAATGAGAACTATGACGGAACTCAACGGAAAACATCACTGGAAGCCAACGCCTCATGCTTGTTTGCATTGAAACGTATGGTGCCATCAGTATCATTAATAGATATTCTACCGATATTACGTAGCATAACTATTGTTAAAAGCTACAAGGAATTATAGAACTCCTCGAGAACTATTGAAAACACCTATTAAAGAAACATTTTTCAAAAATTGAATTGTTACGGAAAGTTAGCACCTCGAAAGTATTAATCTTGTTTTTTGGCTTTAACCATCGGAACTATTTTTAAATAGTATCGGGAACTGCAGAACTCTTCAGCGTGCTACTGGAAATCACTTTCTTTTCTTAAATTTTAAACAATTCTTATCGTCTTGTGTTGTCTAATTTTTCAGTTTTCGTTGTTCATCTCCAAAACTGAAGACCCCACTGTATAAGAGCCATTTTTGAGACAGTTAAGCGGTACAGCTTCTCTGTACCTGGCGTCCAATTTCATTAATTTCGATTAAAAAGATGGTCATTAGAATACTTATAATGAAATGTCTAGTAAAAAGAACTCAAGTCTCTGAAAACGCCAAGTGGATCTGACTTCCACTCAACTCTATTCCGCTCACCTTTTTTTTTCCTTTCCCTCATTTTCCCTCTCCATCCTTCACTCCCTGGTAGTTGCTCGATAAGAACTTGCCACGAGAACTTTCAAAGCGATCGGTTATATCTGGCGTCCATGGTCGAAGCTTTCTCACCGCCGGGGTACTCAAGCTAACTCTTGGCCGTCTACGTGATCCCTATTAAAGTCGAACCTGGAATCCACGATATACCATATATAACCAATTCAATCTTATCTCAAGTACCTAAAAAAAAATTATTATCCACAATTAACTATATAAAAATATTTATAAATCACCGTCAACTTTATTTTTTATTTTAACACTTTTTCCTTTGACAGCCAGAATCAAATAACACATGCATATATCTGATCCTACAAAAGTACCCAGTATTGACGCATTGAAGATTTGGAAAACATTTTACTTCATGAGTAAAAAAAAGTATTTACTCTTTTATAAGAGCAATAATATCCCTAGTAGTAGTAAAGTCCCTAGACAACTACTCGCGTAGCAGTGCACTACTCAAGATGAAGTCTTCTCCCTCCTTATCCAATGTACCTAGTACCTTCCAAGGTATATTGGGTACATAAAGGTTGGTACCCATAACGTCTTGTGCTTCGTGCACTATGTATTTGGAAAAACGGTAGTCTGACAGAATACACGTCACGCTTGAAAAACTCTGCATGGTGCTCTTTCAGTCTACGACTGTTTTCCCAACCCCCAAGTTTGGCAACCCTGCTTCTCAAGCCCACCATTCAGCATCCCACGAGTAAAATTCGCGTCGCTCTCAAGTCACTCGCGGGGATTTAAATATCTGAAGACCTAAGCCTCCCCTCCTGTCCCGAGTCTACGTTTAGTAAGCCCTGCTTTGGCTTCTCGAAAGCCATGGGAGTACAGTTGGTAGCAGCGACGCTTCGGCGTTAAACTCGTGGCATTCAAGTTTGTCGAATTTTCTTTTCATACTTCCCGTCATTCTATATTTATTTTATCTTGCGTTCTTTACGTTTACTTATTTCTTCCTGTTATACAACAAAGAGCACAAAATTGTTGACGTCAACAATTTTTTTCTTCTTCGATATCTAAGATTATTTATCCAAAAAGTAATATTTTCAATTTATTTAATTTTTTGCATTTCTACATTTGGTATTTCTCGAGTACGGATTAATTACCGTGCAGTGGATCTGCAGATGGGCATTTGGAAGAACTATAGATAGGCGTATAGCCAATGGGACTATATCCCATACTATGGGTATAGCTTCAAAATGCATTATCAAAATCTAATTCGGGTTAGTTCTATACTGTATTTCTAGTGTACACTTAGTATAGTAATAGAGTAGCTTTCGACAGGGCTGTGAATTTTCACGCGTGATGGTGAATCGCTGCGATGAAGTTATTCAAATAGACCCATCCACTGTCTTGCACGGTTTTGGAAGTAGCGGTAAAGAGTGAAGGGTATAAGGGAAGATGGTGCGAAATGAGCTGAAGGCCCAAGGCAAGAAACCTCAAGCAAAAGATGATAATACGAATAATGATTATTACAGACATTACAATTAACAGAAAACAATTCCAAAGGACCGGATCAGGCAGTCTAGGTCGCGAAATACACGCAATCGGGCCCAGCCCATACGGACAACGTGGGTCCGGCTGACAGATACTCCAAGTAACCGCGGACTGCTGTGACCCAAGGGCGAAAGGGTCCCGGAGGGGATTCCGACCTTCGGCAGACTTCAGTCCCAGACACAGAGCACTGGGAGACGAGAGCAGAGACTTTGACAAAGAAGAATCCTGTGAAGAGGCTTGGACCAAGCAAGTGCGCTGCTTGGGTCGCAGACCCGGTACACGGGAAGAGGAGAGCCAGGCTACGAAAAGTCGCGACCACCCCTAGTCCAGTTGACCGCAACGAATCACTTGGCAGCAGCGACCGACCGAAGTCTGATGATCCTCAAAGAGATCAAAAATTACACTTTGAACCTTCGTCACTTCCTGCCGCAAGTCAAAGCTCGGGCAGGTCAGACGTAAAGAACCAGATTTGCCTCCGAAGGCGAACCCCGTCGATCAGGGCGAAAAATGTTCGCGACGCATGGTGATTGGAAGTGACCAGCTGACTAGGTACAGACCCGTAGACCAAGCGGCGTAGCCCAAGCGAACGCAGATTGAAGTGACAGCTCCTCTGCAGAGCGCAATAATAAAATTTTGACTCAGGTGTTGTATTAATTTTTTTTTTCACCTTATTTACGTATAATTTTCTTTGCATTGCACGTGGTTCTTTTTTTCTTTGCAATTTTTTTCAAATTTATTTATTACTCATTCAACACCCTTTCGCGCTAAAGTTAAACGACGCGTATCTTCCATAATAAATCTAGTTCATCCATTTTCTCCGGCAGCTTATTTGTGCGCTTGCGCACGTAAGTCTCTGAATTCACGATAAGCCCCGGTTGCACTCTTGCATTTTATTTTTCTACGCGGTGCTTGCTTTTAACGGTGAGTGCTTCAGCTACTCTCCTATATGCCACGTAGGGGCGTAGATATATCCTCCCACCTTTTCTTGATTTTCATCTCGGGATTATCCTGCTTCTTGGGAGATCAGCATAACCCATTGTCACGTGCATATCCGTCCTTACCGATACATAAGTCACGCAAAATCTCAGCGGAACGAATTTATTTACAATCAAAATCAAATCCTCAGCCCTGCAAAAGAATCAAATGCATACAAAATTATAAGAAATGAAAAATTCCTATCAATCCTATTTAAATTGGTACAGTAATTTTACACAGGTGAATCTCCATTAGGAATTATAATTATAAAAAAAAAATTGTAAAAGCAATCTAATTAGAAAGTTTATCTAAGGTAGTACACCCATTACCCTTATCCTGCCAGTCGGTGATAACTTACAGTACGTTGCTTTATAGAATTTAAAATTCGCGCCCTTTTGAATGCCTGCTTAGTTTAATATATATATATATATATAATACATTAAGTTGTCAGACGTAACTCAGAAGGGAGAAAATGAGACGAGCGAATGAACGAGATTCCCAGAAGATGGGATAGACAGTAGAAAATTCTCCGAGAAATCTGAATGTCTTGGAAACTGTGAAGGGGGTAACAGTGTGGCGGCGGGAGGGGGTGGCAGCAAGGAGGGACGAAGGTTGGAGTTATGGAGAAAACGGAAGGGTAGATAATTAGACAAGTAACACGAATTCGCCCCTTTTGCTTTTGCCTCTCCTTCTCACTCGGAGCCCGTATCCTCCTTAATTAAATATAAGCACCGGCTTACCTCCGCTTCTCAACCCTTATAGTACAGTACACAACCTTCAGTCGCTTGCACAAATTCGCCCTACAATATCTGAATACAGGATACGATATGTAACCGGGTAAGCAAGTAAATAGTTACCTAGATAACCTTTCATCCCTTAACAACCTCTGCTTCTTATATAACCGTATACATTAAATAAACAAAATCCGGTTGAAACGCAAATCCAACGTTGAAGAGGTCAATTTTATTTATGGGGATGAATTTTATTTTACATTTTCTTGTTTAATATACAAATTTGTTATCACGTAAAAAATCCGTAGCGTTATCATGATCGTAGCCCATGATTCTTCCCATGAGATTGGACGAAGTGGTTATACGTCCTCTTTCAGAATTTCTAAAATCCGTCCAATTCGAAATTACGGGCGGAAACGCGTATCTCTGATGGGTCATGAGTTTTTGAAAATTATCGTCATACTCCTTAGGTTCCGTCATGAGAATCTCGTCGGAGTCTTTATTAACTGATTCCATCAAAAGATCCGGACCGATTAATGGTTCTTTTTCAAAAATTATTTTACCCTCGGTCCTGAAATTACCAGAATCCGGTACTTTGTACTTTTCACCCGTATTATCGTTATCACGATTAATCAAACTTCTCCAATCGTTAACGATCGTCGATCGTTCGGCATCGTTCATGTCATTGTTATATGATTCAGTGCTCAGGTGAAAAGTAGAATCATCTCTTTTTCTTAATTCGTTCAACTTGAGATTGTTGAGTGAAAAATTATTTACAAAATTACCATCATTGTTTTTCGAAACAAAAAACTTTTCTATAGCCAATCGATGACTGTTCAATGAATCCAATACTTTTCTGACGACCTTATCGTACGTAGGATGTTTGAGTGTAAATTCGTCCTTATCATTTGCACTGATGATCTCATCGTTATTATTATTGTTATCGTCGACACTCATCTGCACAGGATCATTGCCATAAGATTCGACTGTACTGTTTGCAGATTTATTATCTCCCGGCACTATGTGCACCAGATGCTTCTGCCCAAGTTGATCAGTTCCCAGTATAACACGCGGATTCGTGGAATCCACGTCAGATTCGATTGGGTCGGATGCATTGAATAATCCAAGAGGCTGATTGAGGGTCAGAGGTCCAGGATGTCCCGAAGGTTTATCCCGCGACCGATATCTCCTATCGTAAATATTTCTACGCAGATACGTCTGATCCACGGAATCCTCTTCAATTTTATCCTTAAAATTTAATTCTGGACCAACAGCCGAATTCTCAGCATCCTGTTCGATGGTCTGTGAGATTTTCGAATTTTTCTTATTTTTTTTTGACGATGAAAATAATCCGTCCCCAGCTTCCTCGTCGATAAGAATATTATGGGTATTTTCGTCCGATACCAGTTGACCTGGACCAGTGATGCTGTACGGATTAAAAGAATCTGACGATTTATCATGCAAAGGTCTTTTCTCCTGGTCGTTCAGTGTCGTCACGTAGACGTAGGTACGTGGCCAGAGATTCTTCATGTGATAACTCTCATCAACTTGAGGTACGATCGTTAATTGAAGATCGTATCTGACTGTGCTCAATGATGATTTACGCTTCAACCTTCTCAACGTCCATTTTACCGTAGGGTTGCTTTGCTCCGCACAAACTCCACAATTCGTGCAACCCTCCTGACAGAGAATCCAACGTCCGTTTGGCAGGTAGAAGACATCTCCTCGAGATAAAATTATCGAATCTTGATCAGCCAGTGAAGGAAGTGGTCCAGAGTAGAATGGCGCTTCCAATAATCGACGATACAGTGCATTGTTGGCTGGCGGTGGTGGTGAGATTGTTTTGAATACAAACTCCCTTAAAATATATTCCCAATAAGGGGTGGAGTTTTCATTCTGGTTCAACGAACTTTCAACACTTTGCTCTTGACGATCTGACAAATCTCCACTGACTTTCACCAATGAAATCTAATAGAAACAAAAATAATAATTTTCATTACTCAAAAGCATTTATTCTGTCGTCGGAAAAATTATTTTTTTACAATTTTATCAAAGCTCATTCATAACCTCACTTACCGTTACGATAGCCAGACAGCACTTTGTCAGATGCATGATATCGCTCGCGTGTTCGTTAACGTACTGACCTCTAATGAGTAATTAGTGACAGGCAGGGGGTGTAAGATTTCACCAGATCGATGACTAAATCATTGGGAACGTGTAACAGATGATTTTAGTTAGCCGGCACTGCCGGTGGAGGCGCTGCGATCGGAAAATGTACAAGTCGCGTTCGGCCATTGATCAAGAATGATAACATTACGCATTGTTCAATATTATCTGAATGCTTGTGACTTCAAATAGTTTTATATCAAACATCAAAGATGTACGTGCGATTGTAATATGAGAATTGTTACGAATAAAGGTTGGGTTGGCTGAGTGCATTACGGTATCGGCTGACTGTACGCTGCGCGGAATTAAATTCTCACGAAATATATATCTGACATAGAACATCACTTGGAAATAATAGTTGGCTGTATGGTATACGAGAATAGATATTTCATACTGCGTAATACGAAATGGAATTATTCGAGTCGCCTTTGTCAATTATTTTCTTCGAGTTTATGTAAACACCACGTGTTCTTTGATCAACGTAGAAAAAAGTTGGTTAGGAATTACAGCTGCAATTCACTGGATTCTTTGAGAACGCACGTTGCTGATTAATTTTTTGCTGATTGTTGTATTTTGAAAAATTTTTTACGAGCGATATTTATGCTTAGAAATTATATTTTTACGGTATGAGACATTTTTTTATTTTTTTGTTATTAAAATTTATGGTTTTATTAACCTAGTGAAATTGTTTGTATGATTTTATTATTAATCAGTGATGTTTTTATTTATACTTCTTTTGAAATTGTATGAATTGATTCAGAGAGCCTGAGTCAGAACCTGAGTTATTTGCAGATCATTTTGAATTCTAGTTTCAGGTGTACATGCTGCCATCTATACGTCACGTTAGGATAATTGGGAATGAATTCGAAAAGAGTGTCTCAGGTGATATGCAAACCGTCGGGAAGTTAGCGTCAAAAGATAAAAATGTATGTTTTTAATGCCTAAAAAAGAATTGCTCCTTATATTTTCCTAATTACTCCGCTGCTTTTATATAATGATTACAAAATATTCAATTAATGAGTTAATTGCTCTCAATTTGCTTGATTTTGCTCCGCAATTTGTTTTTTATTTTATTAAAAAATTTTTAAATAACAAGTAAAATATAATTTTCTCTTGGATATTAAGATTTGGAAGTCAGAAATCCTGGCCAAAAATATTTAAAAGTACTAAAAGTTGGCATTAAAAATATATAAATTTTTATCTTTGGATGCTAACTTCCCAACGGTTATATGCGATTGTTCTAATTTTGTAACTGAAGGTAAATGGACTATCTTATCGGCAGATTGGATGGTACGTAATCCTCGGAGAGGAATATGGCGCCATCATGTTATCTGGGTCGATACACCGTGGTACAAAAGATAAATTAGAGACAAAATGACGGGAAGCATTCTGATAATGGCTTCCTAGTGACATTTATCAATTCCTCGTTATTGGCATCATCGTTGTGAAAATCATGTTGGCACTGCTGTTCCTCTTTAGTTTACAGTATTCGTGTTCCAGTCATTCCAAGTGCATTCACTGTTAAACGGTGTATCTCAAAGACGAATATCTGTCGGCAGTTACTGCAAGGAGGTCGGGCCTCAGTAAACAAAAAAAAAATCAAAAATCAAAAATAACTACAATTTGAATCCCATAATTCTGTTTGAATTTCCGGCGACCCAATGGCATAAATATCGAACGGGACGCTACAGTAAAAGATTGCACGGCTATCGAACGATAATTGCGATTGATGCACTGTGAACAAAAGATGCAAGTGTTATTGGGTCGATTATGACGTTTATCGCGACGTCCATTTTATCACGCATGAATACGATATACATAATTACGATCTCGTGAAAAGTGATTGAACTTGTTGCCACAATGACGAGTTTCATTAGAAAAGGTTCAACCCGTCATTCGGAGTAAGTCCTAGGAGATCATGTTTTTAGCTGTCATTCACAGTTTGCGGATTTCCAGATAACCAAAAAAGTCGATTACTTAATATTATTTTTACATAAAAGCGTCTGCTTTAATTAATTATTAGATGTAACTTTTATTTTTTTAAATTATCTTCTTTCTATCATCTTCACTTTGTACTTTTTGTCTTTCTTCCACTTTCAGCTTCTTCTTATACGATAACTCACAACACTTGACGTCTCTTAAATGTCCACTACGAGACGTTGGACTTTTATGCTATATCTATATGCTTTTTTTCCTGAATTTATATATAGCAAAACAGAAGAAATTCAGAGTCACCGAGATCATTGCTTGATTCTTTTTATAATGTATAAAATAAAATATAACTCGGTCGATTTTATTATTCGTAAAGTTCGAATGGATATTCTTTGGTTGTCCTATCGATATCAAATTATCATAAGAAAAAAAAATAATCTAAAAGGTTTTTACCGACTTTAAATGGACTTAAAACTCGATTGTGTTCAATCACTCCAATTCCATTCGTCTCATTCGAGACATTCGTCTTATCCCTGTTCTACTTTATCGTGCGTTGTATTCAGTTATTGGACAAAGCTTTATTATCCTTATGATAATAAGAAACACGTGTAACATTGACAGCACGTGAACACGTGACGATACAATACCTAATAATTTTACCAATACACTTCGAGACACTCGTGTTTCATTTACGGCTTTACAAGATGCTTTGGGTCTGATTTATGACGTCCCAGCTGATCCTCTTTGCCCATTGGTCGTAGCCTGCTACCTTTGCTGCGCAAGGCCCATTGGCAGTAAATGAAACAGGAATGTGCTGTTTCTTGACAAAGTATGTCGATAAATGAAAAACACCCAATGAGCTTACACTTTTATGAAGTTTCATGTTAATCGATGTACATAAGAGAAATGGGCATATCGAATACTTTTGTATTCGAATACTCAAAACAATTTTACTCAGATTCATTGCAAAAATGAATAACGATCCAACTCGATTCAGTATTTATTACAAAAAGGATCCAACTCAATTCAGTATTTGTTTAAAAATTTTTAATAAATCCAACTCGATTCGTGATTAATTTTTCGAATCGAGTTGTATTCTTTATTCATTTTGGAACGAATACCGATTTGACTTATAGTCATTAGTATGTTGATATTCCAATACTAAAAGTATTCGAATATGCCCATTCTTGGTACATAATATCAATATAAATTGAATTTTGAATTTTCAAACCGAGTAGTAAGAAATAAAATTAATTACAATGATTTGTAATCATTATCCATAAGTGAAATTGATAATTTAATTAATACAAAGATAAAGTTACTTCTGAATAATTTATATGTAAAACGTAAACTTGTTTCAAATATCTTAAATTATTTTTGGTAGGTATTGCACGTTAGAAGCCGTGCATAAATTTATCATAAAATAAATTTTAATGCATTCTTAATATAATTGGATCTATTAATTGTTATTAAAAAGAATTATTTATATTTCATCGAAATGGGGGGAAAAATATCTGTAAAACTTTTTAGAAGCATTTTGAAAACTAAATATAACTATACTGACTGTAGTTTTTTAGAATATAAATCAAATTGCATCAAGGTAAAAGACAGGAAGAACAAAGTTTAGTAATTTTACTCGTACGATCAAGGTATTTCGGAATCAGCAAAAATCAAGAAAGTTGCACGCGATAAAATCCTCGTTTCTTATTTCAGCGAAACGATGGATGATGATGTCGACGATAAAGATGATACAAAACGGTGAGTTCGATTAAAAACAAATTACAAATCAATTTTTTAACGCGATTGTACGATAGCATCTTTTTCTTTTATTAGAAAATCGCGGAATCTCAGTGAGAAGAAACGCAGGGACCAGTTTAACATGTTGGTGAACGAGCTGGGCAATATGGTGAATTCAAATGCCAGAAAAATGGACAAGTCGACGGTACTGAAGTCAACAATACTTTTTTTGAAAAATCACGCTGGTAAGTGCATTATATAAAACTAGTTAAAGAAGAAAAATACTTAAAATGCTTTTTCTTCTATTTTACAGAAATTGCCGTGAGATCCAGAGTTCATGAGATACAAGAAAATTGGAAACCCTCATTCCTCTCTAATGAAGAATTCACCCACCTGATCCTCGAGGTAGGATTGTATTTTATTTTGTTTGTCATGTCCATAAAAGGTCCGCTAAATGTCCCCGCTGTATTGCTTATATTACATTCTAAATTTGTTTTATTAATAGCTGTAACCCATAAGAATATGTATCCCTTAAAAATAACATTAATCTCATGGCCTTACTATATGTATACTATATAGACTTTTCAAAATTTGTGACTTTTTTAATTTGCCTATAGGCATTGGACGGATTCATTATGGTATTTTCATCGGATGGCCGTATTTATTATGCATCTGAAAGTGTCACATCCCTACTTGGATATTTACCCAATGAACTATCAAAATCCACTATTTATGAAATAACCTACCAGGATGATCAGGCACAGCTCTACAGCATCCTAATAAACCACGAGAATCCCGTGGACCAGAGTAATAGACAAGGTAATTTTATAAATTTATCAGCTATGAATGAATTTTTCTTATATATTTTTTTTTGACAAATCATCCCATACTCCTTTCATTGTAGATAATCAAATCACCTTTACTTGCCATATAAAACGGGGAGGTTTAGATTCTCAAGAAGAACCAGTTTACGAACTCGTTCAGTTTATTGGATATTTTCGTAAGTGTTAACCCGTTTTTAACATTGAATTAAAATTTAATTTCGATGAATTTATAATTGTTCTTCATACTTTTAGGATCGGATACCGACACGAATGTAGATAATTTGATGCCCGGTAGCCAGTATAGTGGTACTCAGGGAAATGATTCAAAGTTCGTCTTACATTTATTATGAATATTAGTATGAGTTAAGGGGAACCATTGTACAATATTTATAATAATTTTACCTTATTTCTTGGGTTCTTTTTTTAGATTAGTTTTTGTAGGCACAGGTCGTCTTCAGACGCCACAACTCATTCGCGAGTTATCAATGGTGGACAATAGTAAATCCGAATTCACATCGAGGCACAGCCTGGAGTGGAAATTCTTGTTCCTGGATCACAGAGCTCCGCCAATCATAGGGTACTTGCCATTTGAAGTACTTGGGACTTCCGGTTATGACTATTATCATATCGATGACTTGGATAAAGTCGTAATTTGTCATGAATCTTGTAAGTCAATTTAAAAACTTGTTAAATTAGATTCGTTCGTTAGATTCTGGTCTGCAATTTATAAGAAAATCCAAACATATGAACAGAGCAATTTTCTTTTAGTGATTCAGAAGGGCGAAGGGACCTCATGTTATTATAGATTTCTTACCAAGGGCCAGCAATGGATTTGGCTTCAAACCAGATTCTATATAACATATAACCAATGGAACTCAAAACCAGAGTTTATTGTATGCAGTCATCGAGTCGTCAATTACATAGACGTTATAAAATCATTGCATAAAAATTTAGAAGTAATTGACAACTGTCCAGAACGTGATGCCATCGATTTGCCATCAAAAAATCAACAACAGGTACCTAAAATCAAATAAAATGTTTTGATTATTGTCGAGTGAATAAATGTCAAAAGTCAAGAAAACACCCGTAGTTGTCAAGAGTGCAAAAATGCTCTATCCAGGATTACTTGTTATAAGGTGACTACGTCATACCTCAGCAACGTGACAACCCCATCCTGGTCATCAAGTTCATCCAAGGCATCGAGATGCGTCGCCGTAAGTCCCGGACCACGACAACAAGGCAGGGAATCAGTGACTACGACAATATCTGCAGAATCGCAATGCTCAAGACAGTCCCACCAAACTCACAGTTTCCACCTCCGGACGAATTCAACTCAGAACGTTGCTCTAAAGTCAGTGCGAAAAACTGAAGATCATCGTAAAACGGAAATAAATGAATCATATTCAAATTTGTTGGATAAGCCTCAGTATATGACAACCATACCTGTTCAGCCTATAGTGTCTGCTGGGTTTGCAACAATAGCACCACCTATAATCTCACCATTACAAATGCCAGAGGTAAAGTAGCATTTTGAAAAACTATAAGCAAAAGAGTTATTGAAATTAAGTAACATTGCTTAAAACTTCCTATAGCTTATACATCAGCCAAGTATAGTAATGACTCCGGCACAAAATCAAATTCAAGATGAATTGCAGCGTAAGCATGAAGAGTTGCAACAATTGATTGTGCACCAACAAGAGGAGCTGAGAAGAGTATCGGAACAATTATTTATAGCAAGATATGGAATTCTTTCACCATTATCGAATGTGAGTATTTATTTGAAATGTAATAAGGAAGTTTTCTATATAATAATTATGTTTTACTCATGAATGTTCATATAAAAATTTTTATCTTAGGTTACCATGCCATACGCAACATATACAACATCTCCTCAGGCTAATCAGTGTATCAGTGTTACTAGTAATACTACAGGAAGACTGACGTCATCTTGTATTCAAGGAGTAAATGTGCTTCCTGTACCAATTACTCTTTCTGTACCATTGGTTCCCCCTGAACGTTTGTCACACCCTCTTCCAGTTACAACGACTTCATCAACTTCCAGCACCAATACTTCAAATATGAAACCAATGATTCTAAATTTGCAACAAGAACAGAGTCAATTGAGTCAACAGGAACAACCAAGTCAGCAGGAGATTGAGCAGGCATCGCTTATGTCTTTTCATGTTTACCAACCAACAGAGACTGTTTATACAACTATGCAGCCTCCAGGCAATGTACATTAAATATTCAAAAACAAAAGAAATCAAGTACCTCTGATCGATTAGCACTGATGAAATTATGGACTGTGCAATTGGCTCGCAATGTGGTGGAAGTGTGATTGATTTTTTTCATTGATCTAATACTATTCTAAGGAAATTATCAGAACTATATCATTTTTGTGAAATTAAGATCTAGGAACAGTGGTTTATTTATGTTTTGTGATAAAGAGAACTAAAATAACTGTTTGAGTGTGTAACAATTCTGTGGCTGAATTCGCGCAAATACATTTGCGGCACATCTGTATTCTTAAATGATTGTTAATTGTGAATCTTGTCACCTGCAAACGATAACGTACCTGGTGTAATGTTAGCACTTAAAGTAACAGTGAAGAGTTTGAAATGCATGTCGTGACTGTGAACGTTATTTCCTGATTAAAGTTTATATCGTTTTTCCAAAAGTGAGTATGAATATGTACATGAATGGAATATTACCCCTATCATAATGAAATTGTTGTTCTCCGTCAGATCAAAAACAACAGTAAATGTTTTAATATATTTTTTAGAAATATCAGAGCCAATTATTTATCACGTTCAAAATATAGCACATGTACTACTGACAAGATATACGTAATATGTTTATATCCACGTATATCTTGAAGTTAGCATTCCAAAAAAAAGTTAAACTGTTACTTGGTACGACTAAGCAATTCGTAGCATGTTTTACGATTATTTAAATAATCCAGAAATATTTCTTTATAACTTTAGTTCCTAAGTAGATAACATTTCATGAGGATATTTTGACCAAAAAGTCCATTGTACGAATCAATTACTTTGACGTTCCAAAAAATGTATAAAATATTTTATATGTTGTAAGGATCAGAAACGCGGCCGTAAAAACTATGATTGTTAAACCTGTTTTTTATAACTATCAAATTTTTGTTCCAAGTAAATTCTAAAATAATTATTTATATTTTGTTGTGTACAGTTCCAAAAATAGAAATTGATATGTCAGTTCTCACCGACTGTGAAATATTGATAGAATTAATCATACTGGTTACTGGAAGAGAGAAAAATGGAGCGTGTATATTTTATACGCGACTAGGTAAAAACTATTTGAATACCTATTTCATAAAAACCATGTAATTTAATACCGGGAACAACCACTTCAGTGCCACCTTAAGATAAAAAACGCGAATTGTCTTCTTGTATGTTTTGTGTTAATTATATACACCTGAGTTACTTCATGCTAATCAAGAAAATTGTTAATCTATTTATGTAATTATCCACATGATAATCCAAAATTGTATATTTTGTTATTAGGGCAATGTTGTATAATTTATATGTACAATATATACATAATAGAAATGAATCTATCATTTACAACAAATGGGCATCTCTTACCACATTAAACCTCTTATCAGAAGCCATAAAGAGTGGGGAGGATCCTCTGTTTGGAGAATAGACATGTACCGATATTAAACATACAAAAGACATTTGACTTGAGATAAATATTTATAATAAATGATTTTTATTTTGAAATTAATCATAATGAGGTTCAAAAGATACTATATTATTTGATATTCATGTTTTGAGGATTGAAATGGTTAGAGATAGGTTGACAAATCAATAATTGAAAGATGTTAAGAATGATCTTTGTAAGAAGATGTTATTATTTTAATATGAAACACGATACTTACTTACAATTACTAATCCGATACACCGTTGATGTATCACCGTTGACTACCAGTGTATAACAATAAATCTGTTTTCTTTCTTAAACTAATTACAAAATAAAATCATAAACCTATAACTTGATGAATAAAGTCACACTATATAATTTCTTATAAAATCTTACATGTAAGTTTGACAATATCATTTAAAAAATAATTATTGTACGTATAATAATTATCCATATTCTTCTCTAAAGAATAGATATCAGAAACTTATAATTTATTTTATATTTATTACTTATCAAATTGACCACAGTAACTTTAACAGTGTCAACCATGGAAATTCAACGAAAGCCATGTAATTAAATGACTTTCATATCCATAGCAATGAATACAAATTATTAAAGATTCTCAATTATTCTCATTAAAAACAATTTTTTGGTTTGTCGCGCTTTTTGCTTTATCTAATTTCATAAATTATACTTATCACTTTCTGTTACACGTGTCAGGCATACATAAACATTTAAAATATTCAGTCCCGGCTTTGCAAAAATTTCAATTTAATAAACTAACTCCAGCACTTACTGTTTAAGTTTCCTCAAAGCGTCCATAAGGATTTGAACTTCCTGATTAACGTTATCAACAAGATCCTCGATCTGATGCTTACTGTCGATTATATTAATACTCTGAGTATAAGGATCGTATCTAACCCCGAACTTCCTCGGGATGGTCTGTGCGAATTTTCTGTAATCATCATACAAACAGCATAAATAAACGTTAACAGATAAAACAACAATAATAAGATATAACAACCAGTCACACAGCGTAAGAATGACAAGCTGAATTATAACAAACTATTACGACCCGGTGATCCAAAAAGAAGAAAATATTATCGTACATTCATTTCCATATCAACAGTGACATATTTATGAAATTGATAAACAAGATGGGGAAATCAAGTCAGTTCAAATCAGCTGTGGCTCATTCCTTGTCAAGAGCTAGTTTTTAAAAAGCACGTTCCGAAATTCAGTGCCAGCACTATGAGTATTATCATGTCCCTGTTTACCCGCAGGCAATAGACTAAGACACATCCATGCTCACAGCGGTTCATGCGAATATCGAACGTGCCCAAAGATAAAGGAGGTTTAACTGTCAATACTAGTCAATCAGATTCGAAATTTACAGAAATGCAGGCATCTGATTGACTAATGAACGCGCAATTAACTTTGGTGAAATCTGCCCCATGTCGCCCATCCTTAATCGAAATAAAGTGGTTAACATATTCCCATGTAATGAAAACCATAATTTAAAAAAACATGTTATCACAATTACTATTTTCACATTATTCAAATTCAAATTTGTACTCAATAGTAACAATTGTCAAACTTTTCCACGTCCCACGAGGCTCTCTTTCAAATGTGTAGTCTTCTTTAGTTCGAAAAACGGGACTTTAAAAATACTTGCACATCTCCCATTGAAATAATGCCATAAATGAAAGGAAGGAAGGACTTCGCAAAGAATAATAAGCTACACCAAAATACGACGTTTGTAATAAATCAGATTGCATCTAAGAAAATTGAAGTCGACTCACATCATCTTTTCTTTGGCGTCTTCGAAGTCTTCTGCGACAAAATAAACTGGCTGATATTCCGTGATAGGGTATTTCTGCAAGGCCGTTTTAGCCGGATCGAAAGGCCGCAATTCCGGCTTGTCGCTCAAACTATATTCCAATTCGCCAAAGGAGGACAAAAGACCAGCACCGTAAGCCTTGAGTTCGCCGTTTTGCCGACAGAGGCCGAATTCCACGGTGAACCAGAAGCACTGAATTTAAAAAATTCAATTATTCGTACAGCACTAAACAACAGAAATAAGGTGATGCAGTGTGCTTGGAGGAATAATTAATTTCCAACAATATTATTGCAATGATTACACAAGATGCAATACTTCCTTTGATCATCGAACAACAAACACTGAAGATTTGCATATAACAACTTTGTTTTCATTTACCGTGGCTAATTTTTCAATGTAGTCGTCAGGTGCACCCAGAGAGGCCAAACCGATGACCTGAGCAAATTGCGCAAATGCTGGATCCGCGAATAAGGGCACGTGACCAAGGATCTCATGACAGACATCCGGTTCCGGTGTGTAGAGAGGTTGGCTGCCGTGTCTTATGTATTGCGTGCTATGAAATACGCGGAAGGCCAAACCAGCCAGGAAGTCACGAGAAGAAAGGAGGCCGGCTACTGGCCTCAGAGTGAAGCCAGTACAGTCTAAATAATAATATGGATAAAATGATAATCATAATTATAGTCCTATTAACGTTAAATTATTTTTCAAAAATATATATAGATCGTACCTTTTAGAAATTGTGATATATCTTCAAGTTGAGGAATGTTATCATCTCTGTAGCCACAATTTTCAATAAGTAACGGAAAAACGTGATTGTGCTCCTTGCATGCGAATTTTGGATACATTTGGGTTAATTTACGAAAAACAACACCCCACGTCGCCACTTCCTCCGCTGTATAAATCACTTTTGGTATTGGCTCCCCGCTAATGATGCGAATCAAAAACAGTATTACGTTTCAATTCATTTGATTCTTTTTTTTTAATTAAATACCTACTGTTTATAATTGTATGCAATGTCGGCAAAATATTTCCTTCTTGCACGATAAACAGGGTCAGTAAAACCGGGATGATCGCTATCGAGTTCCGAACCGTAAGATAAAATCTGATTAGCAAATTTATCCAGGTCACGCATCCTTCGTGGAAACCATGGTACAGTACCCATATTGTCCTTATGATTTCTGTCGGTCAAAAGATCCTTCGTGAATAATTTATTGAAAATTGACTTTGTACAAAAAATTTGTTACCTTGAGATTATTGAAAAATAACTACTTTGCTCTTGCAGAGATTCAATGGCATCACCCAAGTTTCCACCTGGTGCACATTCCACCATAAACTCATAAGCATCCATTTGACGCAGTGAACTGCGAGACTCAATGTGCAATAAGTTTACCTTATGATTCTAAAGAAAAAAAAAACAATTTTATACATTGTTACCATATACTTTGAATTTTTCAAAAAATATGTAGTTTCTTTTTACGCACAGCAAAAAGTTGTAAATATCTTCCAAGAGCTCCGACTTCGTCAGTGTCTCTTGGGGAAAAAATGAGACATGTACTTTTTGCGGAATCTCGACCTTCCCTTATGTAATTTCCGCCATCCATGAGTTTTGGCTAAAAATCACACAAAAAAGAGAAAATTAAGTATGTATCAACGTCGTCAGAAACTGAATAAAATTCTCATGGAGAATAAAATTAAAATTTTGTCTATATAAACCATATCAAATATTCTTACGTCTCTCACTACTTGAAATGGTGCCATACTGTTTGCATGAATTTTTATAAATTATATTTAATCCATAAAATTATTTTTATTAACAAAACTCGTCAAATCTTTATATTACAATCAACAGCCACTAATCAAATATATATATATATCGTACGCCCATCTATCACACACTAAAATATCAAAACTAGCTAGAACCAATCCAACACAAGATTTATATAAGGCTCTCCCTTCTGCCACAGACATTAAATTTCCACCACTCTTTCCCAGAGCCTCGATTCTTCTTTGCAAAGATTTGCGAAAGTTTGTTTCGCGAATGACACAAAAAGAATTAAAAAAATATATCGTACCGGATCGCAAGCATATTTACCGGCTCAGTCGGTAAAACAGAACAATGGTCATCGTCTTCAATTTTCTCGTAACGGTATTTTAACCGGATAGAAATATGACGCAACATAATATTGGAATTGCACGAAGTAAACGTTTACCAGAAAAATAATATTTTCTGAATCTTTTTGTTACCTTAATTATATAATTTGCAAAATCGTTTCCTGCTACTATGTCGTATAAATTGATACATTGTTGCTACATTCTAGAACTTCTATAAAGTATACGTTTCTAACACGTTTTTCCAATTTGCATAAACAATTGAATATGCTTCATCTATTTTTTTTAAATCTTACTACAAATCTTATTATACCTTTATCACTTTTTTTTCGTATAATTATATGCTGATATATTTTTTTACAATTTTAATGTGCCGAGTTCCTGCATTCGCAATATTGTACCAACGTTTAGTCATAAGGATCACAAAAAGGATGACCTTGTATGAATTCTCATGCGTCAATTTCACCAAAGAGAAGCTGATGAAATTTATATTGAGGATTGAGAGAGATAATAAAAAATCTGCCAAATAGTGGGACGACGAGGTATCGTAAAATTAATTATGTTTACAATTCAAGAAATATTTCAATTATACAAAATTAATTAATTTCCTAGAGATTAGCCTTAGCAATGACTATACCAGTCACAGTTCATTCACACCAAGACCGCCGCTTTTTTATTAGAATGATCAGTAGATCAGTGGTAGAAACAGCGTAGTAGTGAGATAAATAAAAAAAAAACTCTAGTAATCATAAACGACTTGATAATCGTCAATTAATCCTACCAGATTAAAAACAGTCGAAAAATATCACTCATTGGTCACAAGTATCAATAATTATCTTAAATTAAATCAAATGACCTTTTATTGATTTTCAATTTTATTTTATTTTATTTTTAAAAAATGTTCTCGCCACACGTCTCTAAGTATATATTATACCTAAACAAATATTATAGAGAAAAAAGATTTCTTACCTCGTCGTACTTCTCGTGTGATGTATTGATATTGGACATTTTGATGTTTTTTTATGGTGCAGTTAATTTGTTATTATTATTATTATTATTATTATTATTCTTAATACACTTAAACAAACGACAACCTGCTTCTCTGAATTCTGTCATAAACTGATTTTCTCCATTACTACAAGATGCAGTCTTATATGTAGACTGGTGCACTTTGTTGGAACTACAAAATATAGCATCTCGTTTTATCCTGGATGCACAATAATGAAATCTACAGGTTTACACAAATGAAATATGCAACTGAAAAATAATTGGTGATCTGTACAATATGGGATCGTTATAAGTGATTGTGATGATTATTACGTAATTGAATTATTGTTTGCGTAAATTGTTGGTCTTCTTAATTTTTTCTTATATTTATAGTGAATTCGTTGTTTCGCAAAGTGGACGTACATGTTTTGAAAGACTCTATATATGTCTTGTTGAAAAACCAGTCTCCCCATTTTATTCTTCGCTTGACTATATTATAATTGCAATGACTCTTTTTGTTTATCGCGAAACTGGTTTACTCACTCCGGAGTAGATGATCTTGAAAAGTGTGCAAGTTGAGAAAAAATATGAGTGTTATGTTGGTCTTACAAACAACGCAACTGGTTGTTTTCTTATTTTTTTCTTTTTCATTTGATAATAATATTTTCTTCTTTCCATTCGCTTGAAATTTGTACAAACCAATGAATCACGTATCGATCATCTTCTTCGAGAAATAAATTATCATTCGGTATAAAGTATACTTATAGATATATATTATTAATTTAATATTAATTGGATTAATTACTTTGTAAAAGAAAGAATGAATGCGTACATAAGTCATAAGTGAAAGTACATAAGTCACTACATGTTTTCCTATTATATGATCTAGCACTGGCCCATCATTTTAATTATATTTTCAATATTTCCTATAACGTTTTCGCTACTCTTCTATGTTACTACTGCTTCCCGTGTTTAATTACGATTTAATGGTGATTTAATAATTAATAAAACTTTAGGTGATTCCTTATCGAGTACTACTTGGCGGGTCCGTACCAGGAATTCCAAAGTACTTTCTTTGCACGTGCTCATAGTATTCTAATGCTGTATGTTTGTTATTA